CTGAAGGTGGGTCGACCACGGCCCTGGACACGGAACAATTCAGCTGTAAATGGCACGATCAAGCCCTCAAACTTCAGCACCTCCTCTGGCTTCGGCGCCGCCGCGCCCCGTTCGAAGCCACCTGAACCGAGGTGACTTTCGGCTTCGCAAGGAGACAGCCACACAAGACTTCCGTCTGGCCAAAGAACCGTTTGTGTTTGATGTGCTTGTGCCTCCTTATAAACTTTGGATTTGCCCAGGATCTGCTTTGCAATTCTTCGTTTCGTGGCCCAAACCGGTTTTTTATGCGGGCCCGTGGCAGTAAGTTGAAAATTGCGGTTAGGGTTTCATTAAAAAGATAGATTCGGAAAGTCATGAGAACCCTGCCTGCAAAGCATGTTCGCCGCTCGGGCTTGCATTGGCTCTCCAAGGCAGCGCAAGTTGGCCGAGTTGGCCGAGTTGGCTCTCGTGTTGGCCACCAATATCCTGCCGCTGCAAACTGTAAACGTCTCTTCTCACCATTCCGGCAGTTGCATTCTTTGCATTCTTTGCATATTCTTTGCATACTCTTTGCATTTGCGTCCTCGATGGCTCCTGTCGCATTCTTTGGGCCACCGAGTGGTTGCCAGCCGAGGGATAGAAGCGACCCAATGGTGGGCACCTAGACGCTTGCAGAATGACACTGTAATGACACATGTCAATTCTTAGGGTGACATGTTGAGCTCAGCGCCGTTGTGAGCAGGTTAGCCAACAACAAGTGCAACCACGAAGCAGACACACGTCCTGAAGCACGATTTCTGCAGCACGACACAGCTGACACGCCCAGCACGTTTCGTCCTGTCAAGTACCAGAGCAGCGGGCATGCCAAGATGAACGAACCATGAAAGAGCACTGACCTGAGGACACAAAAACAACGCGTAGGTTGCAGACATCAGAGTGCGAAACTTGGCATTGAAGAGCTTTTATGTACGTACCGTGGAAGTGCGACGTTGCATCCGGAAAGTCCACCCCTGCGTGGCAGCGAACGAACCAACCAACTGGGCGAAATGTTTAAGCTTTAAACAACCCTGAATCAACCCTAGCCAAGTCCAATTGTTTGAAACAAGGACCATGTGATCAGGATGCGAATCGATTGAAAACGGCCATACAGAAGGCAACGAATCGAGAGCGCCACGTTTGCGAGGTCTGGCGCGCGTCTGCTTATAAGGAAGGTACAAGGGCAGGCTAGCAGCGCAATTGAGCTTGCTTTTTCAAACAGGTGGAAAGAGCTGAATTGAATCACGATGCCCCGACAAGGACACAACCTCAATCACAGACTTCGCGTTTGCTACGCTGAGTGCAAGTTAACGTCACTTTTGAATGCTCATCCAGGACACCGCGGACTGCAATCGTAGTGGGTTTTGGGATGCTGTCACATGTTGCTAGGCTTGTTCATGCATTTCATGTCCAGGCTCAAACTTTCTAACTGTACCCTTCGCATTGTGCTACTAAGATTTTCGAAGTACACGAGATCCCTCCCCACCCATTGTAGATCTCATCGTTTCCAGGCGACATGCCACTCCATCCTACTCCCTAGTTCCTGCACGGTTAGAGTTCAGGGCGTGAAATTCAATCTCAAAAAACCATCAGATTGGATGGCATCTGCTCACAGAACCCTGGGAGCTGCACTTCGCTGCCTTGCGCAGACCTTCCCTCCGTCGACGGCAAGCTCGGACCACCCTGACGCATTATGACGCATTCGCTTTCAATTGGACTCCCTCCCCTCCCCACCCCTCCTGAGAGTACACGAAAATTTCGGAAAACACTTTGGTTGGAGCACCTCCTCGCCGCCCAGACTGTCAAATATGTCCCAATTGGCACTCCAACCAGTACCTGCGGCCGATATGGCTGTGATGAAACTCTAGCCCACCGGTCAGATCACATGCCATGTGGCTGATGCTCCTCCCCCTCACTCCTCCTCTGAGCGGGAACCGCGCCCTGCTACCTAGAGTTGCTGTGGTGGTGGTTGCGGGATGCACCGGATGCGCCCTCGCCCTCTGATCAAACGAGACTTCATTAAACTTCCTTATGCACGTTTAAGCAGGCACAGCGCGGCGCACGCTAGCACTCGGGCCAGCGACCATCTGTCGAATCAAGTATGCTGGGAATTCCTTCGTCCTTGAAATTTCAAGACTGCATTAAATGTAAATAGGTGAGGAAGCGTGTGCTCGAGGGTCAGAGAGGGGGCCCTGCAAACACAACAAGCGTTGCTTGGCCAAAAGGCCTGCACGGCCCCATTTGTTTGGTTCAAACACAAATATGTTTTAATTGCCAGTATCTATATGATATGCTGAGAACAGCCCCACCAGAAACCCGTCACAATCAATCCGGCAAGTCATCTCCACCGAAACTCTAGGTCAGTAAACTCCCAACCCTCCCTTGACTGCATCTGTTTCTGCAGAGGCGGGAGAACATGGCATTGGCGCTTCATGGCACTCAGTTTGCTGTTAACAGCAGCCACCGCAACAAGATTAGCAATAACCTAGGGGTGGGGGGGGGCGGGGGGAAAACCTACCTAGGGCAGTACATTTCTGAACGGGGCCGTTGCATGGACCCCTCCAAGCGGACATTTCCATGGCCTTGTCCGCAGGCCGCCGTGTGCCCAAACCCCCCTGCAGTACAATTCAAACCCCCCCCCAACGGTCATTTCCAGCCCTGTGCGAACGGCTCAACCAAGCAAGCGTTAGAGGGCTTGTTAGAGGGTTCTTAAGGGAGCGGCTGGGGCTTGGCAGGGTACGGTACAGTTGAGGTTTTGAGTTCTGCTTCTGGGCTTGGGCTGCTGTTTGGAGAGCGAGAGAGCAAGAAAGCGTTATCAAAGGGTGGGGAAGTCCCAACCTCTTTGGGGGAGATGAGGTTCTCCAAGGTGCGGACATTTAAGATGTCGACCCGGGGAGCTCGGAGCGTGCCGCAAAACTCGTGGGGGAACCCCCACCCCTGGTGCATTAACAAGGGGCTCCCCAAGAAGGCAATGACGAGCACATTGACAATCAGGCGATGTTGAGTGAGAATCTACAAGCCCAACATCAGCAGAAGGCTCACGATGCGAGCTCGCGAGCTGAGAGCAGTCCATGCAGCGCGTGAATGCCTGGGTCCGCTCTTGACAACGAAACTTCTCAGGCAGCTCCAATATGTGATCACACGCCCGCACGCACTCATAGGCACAGACACACACACACACACACACACACACACACACACACACACACACACACACACACACACTCATGCACGCCAGCGCGCGCCCACGGGCATGCACACACGCCCACGGGCACGCACGCACGTCCACGGGCACGCGGCACGCCCACGCACGCTCTCGCAGGCCTCCATAGGTCAGCAACGAAGGGAAGGAAGACAACGATCCATGCCTGTTTGCGGGGCATGCAGGGCCGCGAATGCAGTGTCACGGCAAAACCTTGTCACATTTTTCGTCGCCACTGCTCAAACTCTCCGGATCCTGTGAAAACTTGCAAACTCAGAGGCTCGTGTGGCACAGAGCGACACATCAAAGAGGGCCGTTAATGAAAGGCACCTCCACCATAACAACGGACTTTTGAACAACCTCGTGCGTAGCCTGTCGGCATTGGCTGAAATCATGGTAGTGTTGCTCCAGGGCAAGAGTGACGGTTGTGCCTGCAGTGCCACAAGAGCACGGCTCTTTGTGGCCTCCAAGGCAACTGAGCCTTTGGTGGAGACCTTAGATGAGCTTCACATCCTGCGCGCTCTGATGCGTTTTGTTCGTTCAATCGGCCGAGACATGCCAGGAATTGCCAGGGTGCGTGCCTGCATGCAGAGCCATGCCGACCAGAGGAAGGCGCCTGCGGCACTGCTCCGAGGCCTTCCAGACAGATCAAGCGAACGAATCAAAGAGGAAAGCATTTTTCGCATTCTTTGTTAGCTTATCTTAGCCGCTCAGCTGCTGCTCTGAGCCCACACAGGTGCAGTCCAAGGCCGAGCGCCAAATGCTGCGGACACGGCACATGGCACTTTGTCCAAAGGCATCCCAATGCTATGCGCCTCCGCACGACAACAACATATAGCAACCAGGCGGGGCCGGAGCCCACTACCAACCTGTGTGGACGAGGCTCTCAAAATCAGGATATCCTACAAACATACAAACTTACAAACCATTAGCCGCGAAAACTCGGTCCCGGACCAGGCAATAACCTCTGGCCATTCCTGCTTGGCTGAATAAATGCCAGATATCCGTGCATGCTGCCTCGAATCCTTGCCGCCTCTTCTAAGAAGAAGGCGACCTGCTTCACGACGTCGGCAACCTTCGTCCATTCGCCCTTAGAAATCGGAGCTTTTCAAGCCAGCCAACTCTGCAAGCAATGTGCGAAGCAGGGCAGTGTAGCATGCACACGCAGCATGCTGGGGCAGCGGCGTCAATGCGCACAGGCATGCTCTCATGGAATCATGCGCACTCATGGAGCTTGAAACAGGTCCATTGGGAGAGTTCCCATCCGACAGCGCATGCTCAACCAACACGCGCTACTTGCCCTTCTAAGTCAGGGCCTAAGCTAGAACTCGTTAGCTGGAGTCGTCTTCGTCTGTCCTGTCGGTGTTTTGAATGAGTTGTCTGCGAACGCTGAACGCACAGCATTCATTGCTCACGTTTTGCTCTACTTCAAGTCCACTAGCTCTTGTGATTGAAGAATATGATCTGATGTGCTGGCTTGGTGGTGAAGTGCAGGCTTGTTGGGCCTTCGATGGCCTTCGAAGCATACAGCAACTTGCCACTCAGAATTGCTAACTTGTGCAGAGAAACACGCGCAGCACGGGCCATACATTCAACACCTTCAGTAATGTGGCGTGTTTCGGTAGGCTACTGCCTCTGGCAATAGTCACACCTGTTGTACACAATCTGGCCGCTTGGCCACTTTCGACCAGCACAGCTTCAACTCGAAAGGCCGAAAGGGGTCAGAAGGGGCAAGGGGTTCCCCAAGGGGTTCGACACTTTCAGGATGCCGAACTTAGACGGTCTAGACGTGAATGGCACCCAGCTTTGTCCCAGCCTTCTGTGCGAAAGCCTGCAGGGCCTCTGAATGCAAAATGCGCAAAGACGGGACATGAAACTCGGAGACGAAGCGCGCCTTCTCGTCCAAGCCGGCAGCTTTCAAGTTCTCCATCTGCTTCTCTACCTGTTTCTCCAAAGTGGCAGCTGCCTGCACAGCCCATGCGGCACAAAATGTAAACTGACCCTAAACCCTCCTTCCTTGCAGCAACAAGCAGAGAAAACAAAAGCAGAAACACCGAAGACAACACTATATTATAGTGACTATAAATAATCATGCCGAAAGCAGAAAGCCAAAAATGCACAAGACTCAAGATGCAGAACGCTAAGAGCCAAGAGCAGAAAGCCAAAAATGCGGAAAGCTGGAGTGTTTGGAAGTTCAGAAAAGCGTGAAGCATTAAAGCAAAAAACATCTGATCGCAGAAAGCAAGGGAGAGAGGCAAGACCAGTGTTTGCTTCTTTTTTGATTGCATTTTGGCTCTTATGGATTATGACTTAGTACATCTTAGTACTATCGATTTTGGTTTGGTGTTTTAGATTCCCCGTGGAGACTCCTCTCAAAGCTGCAGAGTTGGTCTGTGGAATTACGCCGTGCTACTCAACTCTCGAGCCCAATTGCTCAAAAAGAACGCTTTTGCCCCAGAGAAAGCAGCTCCCCCCATCGATGGCCTTCTTGGCCAAGAGTTCTGTCTCGGGCTTGTTCAGCGCCATCTTCACAAGCTCAGCAGCCTCTCTGCTAACACGAAGCGCGGCAAAGCACGGGCACGAGGCGGAGAATCCCATGATCACTTGCACGAGATTTAATTGCACACGATTGCACACGAGAGGATTTCACGTAAATGAACAATATTGCAGACAGAAATGGGAAACACATGCTGGGAGCAATCCACGGCAGAGATCAAGCCTTGCCCTGAAGATTACCCTCGCCGGCGGCAGACGCAAGTCCAGCCTTTGCAAGTCGTTTTGCAAGCTTTGCTTTTTGTGCTGCCGCAGATTCGAAGACAAAGCGAGCCAACAAAAGGCTCTCGCCAAATCGCTGCCAGCAAGGTTTTCCTTGACACCAAGCCAGGGACAACGGGGCAAAAACGCAAACCACTGCACCAGCCAAGTTTCCTGTACAGCCTCTACCTTCCGCTTCAACTGCTCCCCGACCGCCATGGCTTCCGCAGGTAAGTCCTCGCTATATCGATGAGGAACTAGCACCATCAGGCGTGCTTAAGGCGTGCTTACACTCATCTGCAAAAGAAAGCCGTGCTGTTCATTCTGGCCACCCAGTTCTGGCCACGCAGGCACGCACGACAAAGAACCGACAAGACTTCATGACTCATGACGTTATAGCATGTGTTTGCAACAATTGGTCCTCCACCCCTTTTGCCTGCAGTGTCTGTTTCGCCTTGTTAAGCAACACTGCTGCCTTCTTCTTCATCTCCTGGCGGTCATTTCGATCATGCTGGGCAATGCACTCTCATGCAAGTGCAAAGCCACGCGGACCAATTCCACTCACAGAACGAAAAAGGAAAATTACTCGCAAACGATACGTGAGTAACGTGACCCGTGGGTGAAGAAAATTTGTGGGTATCGGGCAGAGTCAAGTTAGGGCATTTCCTCGTAAAGAAAAAACTGAACGGTTTTTGTGGAACATTGAAATGGATTGCTGACATGTTTAAATCAAGGTTTTCGCAACCCACATGTTGCCAAGCTCTTCCAATACTGTTTTGAAATAGATGACTGGGGCGCTGGAAGTACTCCGTCCTATCAAAATGTAGCCGGACCATACAGTAAGGTACATACTTTTCCAAGACATCTTCTGACACACGCCTCATAGGAGCGAGCCATCGGCGTGCTCGACGAAAATTGGCTTGACCACAGACCATATGTCTGTAGGGACCCCCGTGCAAGAGCTTCGTGACTCTGACCAGGTTTGAAGTTGTCTGAGCCGGCCCACCCAAAAGAACAACAAGCAAGTGAAAGCAGAACATAGAAAGAAGCAGAGCATTGAAAACCAAAAAACAAAAATCCCAAACAAAAGCAGACAAAACTAGAAAACCATAGACCCCTCCACATTTAGTCACAGGATTTAGGGGTTTAGGAACTAATCAATATTGTCAGGAATGCTAGGTGATTCAAGGTAGGCCCTTGCAATCTACACTGACCCCTTATCTTGTAAAGAGCAACTCGGGAACAAGGTGTGCTTCATCTTCCGCTTCTGTTTCCGTTCTGTCTAGCGCTTCTCCAGGGTCTTCCGTTTTTGCTTCCGTTTCGTTTTCCACTTGCTTTTTCGGCTCCGTTCGTGCTTCCATTCGGGGTTCCGGTGTCGATTTCGCTTCCGCTCGGCTTTCCGGTTTCCCTTGTATTGTAGTGTCTTCCACGTCTTTGCAGGTTGGCAATCCGTGCTGATGCTTCGGTGCATTTTGTGGTTTGCCAGCACACCCGCGGCTTACCTCCGCCACCACCCGTCCTGCCCCACCCGGCCCATCGACCCTGGGTGGGGCTCGGGCGGGTTCCGAAACCGACACCCGAACGCGAAACCGAATCGGCAGGGCATCCGACACGGATGCAGAAACCGGAACCTGGAATCCGAAGCGGATCCTATGACGGCCAATACGACGCAACACACGAGCACGGGAACGACCGACCGACCGATCAACCACAACCGGTCTTCATGCGATAAAATCAGACATGTTGGGGCTATCCCCTCAATGATTTTGTTTGATCCGTATCTGCTAAAGCCCCTCTCCTCCCCTGTTGCGCTGTATTGCTGTGGAAATCTGCACAGACATGCCAAGCACCCTGTGCGGCCTGTTCCTTACGAGCGAACCGTGGCCAAACAACCGAGAAGTGACCGACGGGCCGTAGGTACCTGCCTGGGTGGGTCTGAGCTCAAGGTATTTGTTGATCTGCTGTCAGAGTAGGCCTGGGGGTTTGTCTGCACCAGTGCCAGAATGACAAGTTCTGTAGCGTACTGGTCTCCTCGTTTGCATTCTTGTCGGAAGGAGGGTCGAGCAAACATCACGTTAAGACTCGAGTCTGCATCCTTAGGGGGGTTCTGGGGGGTTCTCTGTCGAGTCCTAAACCCTGATAGTGTCTTTCTTGAACAAGCAAACCCTAAGGAGTACGAACCACTGTCCTAAACCCTGAACCCCAATCCCTAAACAACCCCTAAATCCTAAACACCTAAACTGTCTCTTTTGAACCCTAAGGAGCACGAATAACTGTCCTAAGCCCTGAACCCCAAGCCCTTGGCGCCTAAACAGCCCCTAAAACCGAAACCCACTAAACCCTAAACCCTTTGTTTCATACGAGCAAACCCGAAGAAGTGCAAAAAACTGTCCCTGAACCCTTAACCCCAACTAAACCCCAACTAAACCCTAAACCGTAAAAGTGTATCTTTTCCCTTTTTTAAAAACAAGCAAACCCGAAGAAATGAACCCCTAAACGCCTAAACTCTCTAGGTCTTGCAGCCCCAAGAATAAACCCCTGTTTCGGAACACAACCAAAGCTGAACAAGAAACCGAAAATCAAAACACGGAAAGCAATTAAAAACGGGCGCACACTGAAGTCTTAACACGGCGCTTTTGTTTAGGACTGAGAACATTCTTTCGTACTCCTCAGGGTTTGCTTGTTTTTTCAAAAATAATAAGACACTTTCAAGGTTTAGGGTTTAGAGGTTTAGGGGTTTCGGGATTGGTTCTGGGTTTCTTTTGGGCTGCAAGGCCCAGACAATTGAGGTATTTGGGGTCTAGGGGCTGTTTAGAGTTTTTAGGGCTTAGCCTTCAGTGTTTAGGACAGTTTTACGTACTCTTTAGGGTTTGCTTGTTAAAAAAACAGACAGTATTCCTTATCTTCCGTTTGTGTTTTTCCGTTCAAGCCTAGGGTCCGACAGACTTCTCAGTAAGAGTTGCTTTATTTTATATGGTTCAAAAACAAACATTAATCACATCATATACCCCGTGTTCATTTCTATAACTGTTCTATGAAAATTTCTGCTTCTCGTGTTAATCTTTAAATTCAGGTTGGCTTCTATGTATACAATCAATTGAAACTTCAATTGTGCGAAACGCTACTTTTGAACGATGTTTTTGAAGCTTTCCCTCCCGTCCTGGTGCATTCTGCGGCGACTGGAAATTGAAGTCTTAACTTGATGTTTACTCGACGCTTAACGTGATGTTTCTCGACCCTGCCCCGATTTTGTTTGATCCGTATCGGCTAAAGCCCCTCTCCTCCCCTGTTGCGCTGTATTGCTGTGGAAATCTGCACAGACATGCCAAGCACCCTGTGCGGCCTGTTCCTTACGAGCGAACCGTGGCCAAACAACCGAGAAGTGACCGACGGGCCGTAGGTACCTGCCTGGGTGGGTCTGAGCTCAAGGTATTTGTTGATCTGCTGTCAGAGTAGGCCCGGGGGTTTGTCTGCACCAGTGCCAGAATGACAAGTTCTGTAGTGTACTGGTCTCCTCGTTTGCATTCTTGTCCCATAGATCCTTGAGCTTGCCCATGAAGTCCTGGCATGTGCAATTCTGACTTCTGACCGGCATGCTGAAACAACTCGACACTCAGGCAATGGCCGCAGCTCCCTCCTTTAGCTCGTGTGAGTCTTGATGCTCAAACCTTGGGCAGCCGGAATTTGCCACTGTGTTCCATCGGAAACCAAACACAATGAGTCACAACTAGTCACCAGCTCTGACAGGAAGCGCCATTTTGGCCTTGAGCGCCAACTTTGTAGCTTCGGAGCCGATTTCTGCCTCAGGAGTATGCACGGCGCACAGCAGCAAATGACAGCAAAGGCCAAAGAACAACATTCTCGAGATTGGACGCTTAAGGCTTAAGGCTCAAGCCTTAAGCATCCTTAAGCTATATGCGTAATGAGACATGGCCAACAGGGAGGTCGAGGAGGCATTCGGTGACAAGGGAACAAACGCGAGTGAGGTGCACTCTCCTTGGAGTTGATGGCGCTCTTGGCCCAGCCCAAAGCATCCTTCAGTGTCAATGCAGCTGCAAGCAGGATGCTTGAACCCAGATCTTGAAGCTCACTACAAGCCTATCGGCAGTTCGTCGCACAAGCGATCAGAGTCTCAAATTGAGCGGATGATTGCACCATCATTTGCCCCCATCCAGAAACTGAAATGAAAGAAATGAAAGAAATGAGATGGCCTTGGCCTTCAGGCCTAGGACCACCCAAATGTTTCTGGTAACATTTCTGGGTCTCTCAAGGGATTCTGGGAGCTCTCATGCTGACCTTCCCAAAGACTTTGGTAACATTTGATATCCTGTCTCGAGGTTTGGAGGTGCAATGACGTGCTGAAGGCGAGGGGGAGAAAGAAGCACAAAACAGAAACAACACCCTAAACCACCCGAAACTCTACTCTAGACTCTAAACCTGAGAACTGAGACAGATATGGCTCTGACGCCCCAGGGATGTTACATTGCAGAGAAGCCCTGGGCCGCAAAGTTATTCGCGACCCCGGCTCTGCGAATTTAGAAGCTTGGGTTTTTTTTTTGCTCAATGTTCAGTTAGAAGATGAGGACTTCCTTGCGGTGGAAGAGAAAGCCACAGGGGTTCTTTCTCGAATTCTTCTTCTCGAACTGATTTCCAGGCTGTAGTACTCTTTCTACTATTAGGGTGGCACTTTTTGGTTCATCTCTGAAAAAGAGCTCCCTTCTAAAGGGAGAGAGGCCTCCTCTTTTGAGAGAAGAGCGGAGGCGGGGAGAGGGAGGCGGAGGGGTCCGGCACGGCGGCGCTCCGGGGCTCTCAGGGGGCTGCTCTCTGTTCAGGAGAGAGGAGAAGGCGGGGGAGAGGAGCGCCTGTTCTTTTTTTTGCCTGCTTGTATAGTAAATTCTATGCTCTGCATAAGAAGTAGCTTTTTGAAGAAGAGAGTTCCTAAGTATCCTTGTGATCAGATGTAGAGAAAGGCAGGAAAGTTAGCTATAGTGAAGATAACTTTGACTCTGCAACTTTCTTTACGAAGGCCTATTTATCTGAGGTTTAGTTAGGTTTAGTTTGCTGTAAATTCTTCGGGTGTTTAAGCGGGCTTCTCACAAGTCAATAAACCAGACAAGCCCGGAACTCTTCAAAAATGTTACCGAGGCAGGGGGGGTGTCTTTCTGGTAACTGTTGCCGATCCCTGAAATGTTACCCTTTGGTATCCGGTAACTCACCTTACCCCCTCCCCCAGAAACAATAAAATGAGAGAAGCACACTGAGCACACGCCTCTTTTTAGAGCCAATTACACCTGTTGAGACCTTCCGGATCCTTCCACCCAGCCCAGGGAAGTGGTGTCATGTTGCCTTTCTTGCTTCCCCTTTGAATCGCAAGTGCCGACGTTCCGAGATGCTACAGGTGCACTTCCCAACAAGCAGCCAGCGGATCAGGAATGTCCAACAAAAATAGCTCATGCAATCAAGCCGAGGGTGATGTGTGGCAACGATTCGCATGGACAACTTGACAACCTGTAGACAATCATAAGACATCATGAGCTTACGCGAGTCTCACGTGGCAAACGTGGCAATCCCGGGTGACTGGCCTGAAGTGGACGGGGAGCAGCTGAAATGGCATACGCAGCGTGAGCCGGGGCAGCCGGGACCGAAGCTTTCGCTGGGAAAGGCTCCGGGGTGGAAAAACCGCAGGCCCTGCGCGGCGATCACTTTTGTGAACACGCGACACGTTGCCACGGCGACACGTTGCGACACGTGATGTCAGAGATTCATTCACGTGCCCGGATACGTCAATGCAGCGCTGCACAGCATCGCACTGCCATGCCTTGCCAGGCGTGGAAACCAAGCCTGTTTTGCCAAATAGGCCTGGCATGAATACAAGATTCTTCTGAGCTTCTGTTCTGGGCATCTGACGGTTGTCTGAAAACCTTGTGGCCGGAGGCCATTTCCCTCTTGATGAACTGGCACTTGCGTGTTAGAAGAGAGTCCTGGCACAACGGTGACTATCGAGTCGCGGGGCTACACTGTGGTAGCGGGGCGATGCGGGGTGAGCAGCTGCTGTGGAAATGACGAAAAAGCTACAATATATCATGTGGCCAGCAATGTCCTGGGCCGAGGCCAAGGAAAATGTTGCCAAAAGAACTGCGAAAGCTCTCATCATCCTTCGCAGCTCACAGCGCAACAAAACTCGCAAGGCTTTGCACTTCGCAAGATTTCGCACTTTGTATGAGCACGTCCAAAAACCCCCGCCTTGACGGAAGTTCGTCGCTTCTGAAGGCAATTGCTGGCTGTTGTGTTCTGTACCAAGAGAAGGGAGAGAGCGTTGCTGATTTACATATTTAACATACAGTCACACAGCGTGCTGTTGGCAAAAACACGCCATCGCCTTAGCCCTTCATTCTCTGAAGACTTCAACGGCAGCTTGTGGACGAAATGGCATATTGCGAGAACGTGCAGTAGCTAAGGAAACACTTCGGAAGAGCAGCACCCTGATACACCGGAACCTGATGCAAGAGAGAAAGGACACCGTTGCTACCAGCACATTCAGCCGGATTTAGAACTCTTGTCAGTTTCGCCCATCCGCCGGCAGCTTCCTTGGGCTGCTTCGTGGGGTTTGTGTTGTGTCGTTTGTTCGTTAATTCGTCATTTGGTATTGAGTTTGTTTTCGAATGCCTAGCAGGAGGGTTCCCGTGTTGAGAGTTGGGGTTCCAGGGGTCCAGCGTCCAGGAGGTTACCCGTGCATTTTGTGTTTGCAAACGCCCGCAAGCCTTGGAAAGCGTCCGCAAGCGCTCGCGTGCGTTTCGCATCGGCCGCATCGCATGCGCCATCCTCGTAAGTGCCGTCACTTTGGAGGTTGACGTCCCAAAAGTTCTCACAGTCACCAGGTTCTTCGATTTTGATTGGATAGAAACTTTGCTCCGGAAAGCCCCCTCTACGTGGACTCCACAGGTGGTCGCGTGATGGTCTTGCATCATCGGCTCGAGGTCGTCAATCCATCTTCATGAAAAGCAACGGTGACCTGCCCTCAGACGTAGGAGTCGCTGGCAGTACTTGTCGCTCAGCTTGCACAATAACTATAATCACTGGCTGTTGGAGTAGTTGCCCGATAGCACATTTTTCTGCGGCACTGACCACACGGGTCTGCACGGACCAGGAGCTGGAAAACTCATCCATAGCCCTGAGACAATTTCATGCGTCTCAAGCTGCTGGCAGAGAATACAGCAGCTAGCAATTAGCTCGGATGATTTCATTGGACGCAGGTTTACTAGCTCCCTTCTGGTGTGAAACCTGCAGGATCATGACCAAAGCCGCCATAGCCGTCAGCATGCCAACGACCTGACAGCTTTCTTGAGATTTAAGCGACGATTGCGTTGCCGGAGAGATTCCTTGCGTCTGCGCGCAATTGCTTCCTGCGCGGTGTGCCTGTGGATTCGTCGCTATGAAGAGCTATCGGAGGAGCTGGTTGCTTTCCTCTTCTTGGACTTGGAAGCCTGACAAGATCTGGCAAGTCCATCTCAAGAGCATTTGGAAGAACCCTTAAGACTCCAGACTCAAGGCCTCAACAGCTTTTGCTAGAAGTTTCTTCTCCTTGCGAGCTTTTTTCTCCTTGTGCATCAGTACTTCACATATCAAGTGGCACTGGATGCTCTACATGGTCCTCACACGAAGCAGTTCGCAGCTGCGGGGAAGGGGGGCTCGCATGGGTGCGCATGGGGCTCGCATGGTTCGCCTTCTTTGCGGCTTTTTTTTCCATCTTCTTCAGCTTCTTCTCTGCCTCTCTGTCAGATTTGTGAGAGCATCTGGGATCATCCTTCACACCCGGCCCGGAACGGCAATCAGGGGATGCCTTTTTAAGTTTCTTGTCCTTCTTGACGGCAGCTTTGTCCTTCTCTGGATTCTGATCGTCAAGCCTTCACAGATGGGCTTTTAAGCAACAACTGCCCAGCATGAACCGATGACAGTTGCGCTTGCAGCTCACAGCACTGCTGCAGCAGCATATGTGCTACGACGAGCTGCCCTGACCTTGGGACAGCTGCCTCTTCGTCGGCATCTTTGGCCTCCCGTCTCATCAGGTCAAGGCTGCGTCTGCACCGTCGGAAGCAGGAGGGTCTTGCACATTGCGTTTCTCGCTGCTCTACGGCGCATGCACTCCCTGATCTTACCTAGTCCAAGGCAGGAACCAATGAATGCGGCCATCCTATTTTCCACACCGCTGTGGCAGAAGGTTGGCATGTGAATACCTCGCGGCAGAAAGCTGCAAACCACGAGGGTATCGAAGCTGCTTGAAGCTCTTGACAAAACCAACTCGTGAATCGAGGAGTAGGGGCATCGGTTATTCTCCGTCACATGTGCACCCAAACATCACTGTGATGTTTCTCGGGGTCTTGAGGCTGATGAGTTGATGAGTTGATGAGTTGGGCCTCAGATGGCCTGCTGGCAGCTGCGTTGGTCAAGCAAATCGCTGACTGGATGAAGCAAGGACAGCGAAAAATGCACGAAACCTCCATGTGATTCCAAGGACAGAAGAATCTGCAAATAGCTGCAAGAGCTTAATGGATGGCACTTGTGATCACTGAACCTACACCGGACGACGGTGTTGCCTCTCTGTGTTGCCTCTCTGTGTCTCAACTTGGGCAGCAGCCTCTTTGCGTCACTTCCGTCTCAACCACCCTCGCTGCCAGTCAAACTGGATGTCGCCTTTGGCTGCCCCGAGCGACATGGCCTGATGAGCAGTCTCTCTTTTTTGCAACTTCTGAACTCACTTCTTCCCCAAAATGGGAGCTGCCGTTTGTGCTGGTGTTTGGACCCTAAAATGGGGCTTTCCACGGAATTGGTCTGCTTTGCGAAAAGGCCCCAAGATGCCCAATAGGGAACTTCGAAGAGGAAGGGCGTTTCGAATCTGTCTGCTTTGCGAAAAGGCCCCAGAATGCTCAATAGAGAACTTCGAGGAGGAAGTGCGTATTGAACTGTCTGCTTTGCGAAAAGGCCCCAAGATGCGCAACAGGGAACTTCGAAGAGGAGGGGCGTTTTGCTTTGCGAAAAGGCCCCAAATACCCAATAGGGACCTTCGAAGAGGAAAAGCGTCTTCAATGTGTCTGCTCTGCGAAAAGGCCAAAAGATGCCCAATAGGGAACTTCGAAGAGGATGGGTGTTTTGAACTGTCTGCTCTGCGAATAGGCCCCAAGATCCCCACAGGAAACTTAGAAGAGGAAGGGCGTTTTGAACTGTCTGCTTTGCGAAAAGGCCCCAAGATGCCCAATAGGGAACTTCGAAGAGGAAGGGCGTTTTGAACTGTCTGCTTTGTGAAAAAGCCCCACCAAAATGCCCAATAGAGAACTTCCAAGACGGAGTGCGTTTTGAAAACTTCTGCTTTGCGAACACGCCCCAAGATGCGCAACAAGGAACTTCGAAGAGGAAGGGCTTTTTGGTTTTACGAAAAGGCCCCAAGATGCCCAATAAGGAAATTTGAAGAGGAAGCGCATTTGTTCGATCAGACTGGTCCGTTGCCCTAACCAGACAAAAACGGCCGAAGCTTAAGCACAAGCTGAAAGCACTCGCAAGCACTCCTTTTTACGTCAGCTGGCAGAATAGTCCTTCGAGAGTCCCAGGCAGAGCGATGCCAGCAAGGGAAGGGGGCCAAGCTGGCCTATCACAAACAGATCCAATGGCCAAGAGCTGGTGACCTTGATTGCTGCGTACTGAGAAAGGAAAAGAGTGCAGCTCGAGGGCAGCGGACGGGAGGCTGCGAGCCAGGCTCCCAAGGTATGCCGTTGCGTCTTCACCAAACATTTACGTACAAGTACGAGCACTCAAGGCCCCAAGACGCCCAATAGGTAGCTTCGCAGAGGAAGGGCGTTTTGAACTGTCTGCTTTGCGAAAAGGCCCCAAGATGCCCAACAGGGAACTTCGAAGAGGAAGGGCGGTTTGAACTGTTTGATTTGCGAAAAGGCTCCCAGATGCCCAATAGGGAACTTGAAGAGGAAGGGTGTTTTGGCTTGTCTACTCTGCGAAAAGGCCCCAAAATGCCCAATAGGGACCTTTGAAGAGGAAAGGCGTTTTCAATTTGTCTGGTCTGCAACAAAAAGGCCCCAAGATGCCCAATAGGGAACTTCGAAGAGGAAGGGTGTTTTCAATTTGTCTGCTCTGCGAGAAAAAAGGCCCCAAGATGCCCAATAGGGAATTTCGAACAAGAAGGGGGTTTTGAGCTGTCTGTTTTGCGAAAAGGCCCCAAAATGCCCAATAGGGAACTTCGAAGAGGAAGGGCATTTTGAACCGTCTGCTTCGCGAATAGGCCCCAAGGGTGCCCAATAGGGAACTTCGAAGAGGAAAGGCGTTTTGAATTGTCTGCTTTGTGAAAAGGCCAGTAGGTCTTTCGAGAGGCTTTTTCGTGAAGCATCTCGGCAATCGCAGAACAACGATAGGCTGTTGGAGTTATTGACCATTATCTTCAGAAATGTTAGGGTTTCGTTTCAGGATGTCAGGCGATCCAGTAGACATGCACACGCACGGTCCTAGCAACCTGAACCAAAATGTCCTTCAACCACTATCATCCTGACCCGACACCTTCTTCCACAAGTGCCAATGAACGTAGGCAGAGAGAGAACAAGGACGCGCAATTCAGCGCATGGCAAAGGCAGATCCAAAAACTCCCAAATAGACCTGACCTGATTGCAAATTTGATTTGTCAACACAGTCCGATCAAAGATGGGACCGCGAACTCCCAAACAGGAAACTTCCCGGCCGGACGAACACGACCTAGGACCCATCACCGGGCTTCAGGCCATTGACATGGCCACGAACACTTTTCATACTTTTCAAAGCCTTAAGCGGCTACGCGAGAGCGTCACGGTGTCACGGAACACCGAGAGGTCATGGGCCTGTTTATCCCTTACGGCCTTACGAGAGCGATGCACGCGTAGAGCCCCACGGGTCTCCGTTTTCTCCGAGATCGCGTCCACCTTCGTGACCCCCGAGCTGCAGATCGATCTTGAAAGTGGCCCTCAAGCCCGCTGTCACAAGCTTCTTTCCCTGGTGCTACTTGCGCTTGCCAGAGCTTCACTTGGCCTCGGTGATGGTCCGTGCTGATTTGTACTTCTCGTAGCGGTCAAAGCCTTTGCCACCCGCCTGCAGCTGTCTGTGCCGGCAAAGTCAAGATGAACCGAGCGCTAGACTGGATCATCGGCATCTGGATGAGACCCTAGAAAGGCCCTCTGTGCAATGTGTGCGCAGGCTGCGCAGAGACCACCACCCTAGCCTTCTTCGGATTCTGTTGAAGAAACCTCAGCTTCGTGAATGTTGATACGTCTAAGTTCTAGACTCTAAACTTCTTCCCTTGCTGACAGATTCCGCTTGTTTCCTTCACGGTAGCAAAGATGGCTCAGCGGCTAAGCCTCCGTCTCAATCGGATCATCAGGGCCTGGAATGGCCTCCTTGTTCTCCGCGCCTCCACCTGCAACATCCTACAACTCTCCAACATGCTTCAAGCCTTTCTACAACACGAACACCACAACGAAAGCGGAAGTCTTACTATGGCCTGCAGGCTTGGAACGACTTGCCTTGGCCATGAGTGTAAAGCAAATGCTGAATATTGTGCCAGACTTTGCTATATCCGCTGTCTTTTCTACAGCAATGAATGAGCCGTTGCACGAGTTGCGTTCGCAGCACGTAGCACGCTGTGAACTGCTGCAAGGCTATCGAGTGGACGCTGGGTTCGATATGCCAAGGTGGCGACTTTTGGTTTTGGTTTGACCCCACCTGCAGCACAGAGGCACGCCTACTTGCATTCCGCATCACTGCGCAACGGCAGCTAACATCACGCCGGCAAAACAAGCGCCTGGAGTTTTCTTTGTCTCCGGTTTGAGCTTGACCTGCCAATCGGGCGACTTCGACTCACGCCTTCAACTTGCACTCATGGCCTGCGATGGCTTGGCAACTCCCTTCTTTGTGCTTTCTGGTTCTGGTCGTGTGGAGCTGGACGCCTTGCTACGCACATCGTCTCACATTCAGTCACGCGAAGATGATGCGGAGTGATGCCTCCCCGTTCAAACGTGCCGTAGTTGGTGTGCCTCCAACACACACGAGTGGCACGTTCCCCGACCGACACAATTGTCAGGCAAGACTTCTCTCTCAGAACCGAACAATGAAGGAGCAGGTGGGCTCTGTCACACAGTAGTAATGTATAGTATAGTATGTAATATGTAGGTCGTACCGACGTTGTGCAGCAGGAGAAAAGGAACACCAGCGCGAGTAAGGAGAAAGATGGAAGAGAGAGAGAGAGAGAGACAGAGAGAGAGAGAGGGAGAGAGAGCGAGAGAGCGAGAGCGAGAGAGACATAGAGACAGACAGACGGACAGAGAGAGAGAGAGACAGACAGAAAGAGAGAGAGGGAGGAGAACAGTGCGTGAGAATGAAACAGAGAGAGATATACAAGTGTGTTCCCCCCCCCCCACCCTCCTACCTATCACATTTCCTCCTCTTCTGGCATCTGTAACTCTACCTTGCTGTGCTTGAGACATGTTGAAGACACTGTCACTGTAAATACCGTTTAGTTTCGCATTAGTCATAAATACACTTGCTTCTGACAGGACAAATATCATGTGTGCCATGGCTGTACTTGGCTGACCGCATTCCGGTTCGCGACGCCACGCAACTTCAACACGAATAATAGGCATTTGCAGAACTTTCGGCGTTCACATACAGCAACACCCCAGTTTGAAGCGATTTGTATCGGCTTTATCATCATACTATATTTGAATGTGTGTGTGTATATATGTGTATATAGTACATATTTCGTGTGAATATCCCGATATACACGCGCACCCGTGTCATTCTGGAGTCCCCCACATGCCGGATTAAGGGCGACGATCTCCTGTGTTATTAATACTGCGTTATTAACACTAGTTCGTTTGATTCCGTTAGGTTTCTCCTTGATTACATGCAAAATTTCCATGTGTCATCTAAGCATTCATTATTGTACTCATTGTTATTTGACTGTGTGTAACTGTAGCAACAGAATCACACAATCTTCTACACTCAACAATATCACCTACTTTTGAATAAAAGGAGGCGTTTACGGTTCGCACAATACTATCATCAATCCGTCCCCTTTGTTTCTATCAGCTGACGAATTATATGTGAAAGGTCATCAGGAAAATTTGTGGACATTGCACGTTGATGTACGAGTTGGACTTTGACTATTGCTTTTGCTTGTGATCAGGTTGAAACATTTGACAAGTTTAAGGCTTAGGAATTACAGTGATTGTCTCACGCGTTCTAACTCTGAGCATTTTTTCGTCTATGCATTTTGATTCTAAGCTCTTCTGCGTCTACTCAGTCGAATTCTGGGTTTCTTCTCGTGTGTAGTGCCGTGTCCGAAGCGCGGTGTCAAAACCCGTGTAATTGCAATTTGACCACTTAATTCACGCAACTAGCCCTTGCATATATTGGCATTCCTTTTCAGAATAGCTCAGTACCAATCAAAGGCTTCATGCTTTTGTATTGAGGCGATATCGGTTCGGGATTACTGTGAGCGGAAAAGACTCATATACCCGTGGGATTGACATACATGTCTCTGTTTCACTACAGCAGAAATCTCCTCAGGCGCCCCAGACCATGTCACTTGTGTAACTCAGTGAGACGTGGCCCCAGTCGTGACTGGCAGCATGTTGAAGACTGCACATTCTGCTTCTATGAATCATGAGATATGATCCAATGAATCTAATGAGGTCTTGTAAAACGGTGAAAAGTTGGAAAATGTGTTTGCCTAGCACAACTAGCCCCAACTCTTGAGCGACGAGCTAGCTCTTCAAAGAACGTCTAAAAAAATTAGAGCAGCTGCCACAAGAATATGCATCCTCAGATTTGTGCAGCTCAGTTTTGCTCACCTCAATTTTCCAGATTTAACGGCATCTGTGGTCATGCTTGCGTGCAAGTTGCAGCTCAACACGTCCAGTCATATATCTGTGCGTGCGTGCGTGCCTGCGTGCCTGCGTGGGCAGGCTGAGGAGAGCTGAGGAGGGCAGCCCAAAAAATGCATCCTTTCCCTTGTCGCACGCGTTGGCTTGGGCTTCCGGCTGGGCAGCTGAGGTTTAAGGGTTAGCCGGAAGGCAAGGTTCAGGGTGTAGGGGTTTAGGGTTTTCAGTTTTCAGTGTTTGTAGTTTTTTTTTGCGTTTCGAAAAATATCTTTAACCCTGGAAAGAGGACTTTTTGCTTACTTTTTCAACTTCTAAAGAAAAGGCCGAAATCCCTAAAAAAGGAGGGACAGAGGAAGGGAGGGGGGGGGGCGGAGGTTATCCATTAAGGGGATGCACCAATGCTGACACATTCTGGGTTCGGGGGTTTAGGGTAGAGTTTTTTAGGGTTCGTTTCAAGGGTCCGCGATGGTTTTGGGGGAGGAACCCTCCCAAGGGGGAGGGGGTCGGTGCACAACTTTTCATGGAGGACCGCGCACCCGCACGGCGTAAACGCACTGACCATAGGCGGTTCACCACAGGGGGTAGGGGCTGCTTTCCGCTCGTGAACCCCACCCCCCCGCCCACCCACCCCCCCCTTTGCGACTCGAACCCGCCCGCCCCCCCCCCTCCCCACCCCCCCACCCCCGCCCACTCCCGGGGATTTGAGCTTTGGGCGTTGACAGGTTTAGGGCCTCTTGGGTCGGCGGCCTGAGCCGGAGGCTCCTAAGTTTAGGGTTTAGCGGTTTGGGGGTTGTTTAGGCTTAGCTTCTTGGGGACTGCGGCTTGCGCGAGGCTCCTAAACCCGGATGTCAGTATGCTCGCCACTCAGGCCTTCAACTGCAGATGAAGCTGCCGGCTCAATGACAGAGTCCTGAAACTGGTGAAGTCAAGGTCTTTAACACCTTGACATCCCGGGTCCTCCTCCATGTACTCTTCCTTTGTTGGCCAAGAATACAGCTCCACCTGGCTTCACTGCAAAGTCAAGTCCAGGGAGTTCAAGTCACTTGTGCGCATTTGCAAATGTTGCCGGACAAGCACGTCTTGGAGAATGTTGCATGCAACGTCGCATGCAATGTCGCATGCATTCTTACATTGCATGCATTCTTCGTGCATGCATTCTTGCATGCAATGTTGTTCCACTGTTGTGCTGTTCCTTTGGTGGGAGCCTTTGGGGCTTTGTTTTCGGGCCTTTGGGGCTTCGGGTGGAGCATGATATGCGGCGCACAGGTCTCTTGCCGTCTTAGTGCCACTCCCACACATTCATGGCTTCATCCTGAAGGCTTCGGCTCAAGGGCCTCGGAATCTCTTTGTTCTCTAAAGCTCCAAGGAAGTTCTCAGAAGTTCTACCCTAAGGCAAGGTCAGAGCTTCGGGGTGACCCCTGCCCCTCCCCATTTTGAGATGCAACATTCGCATAGGGCGTAGAGAGCACTCATGCACATACAAAACAGAGAGCAGAACGCAGGGATTCAGGCAGGGGTGGTGAAAGTACGAGAACATCAAAGAACCGGCCTGCTCGGTCTCCCAAGCATAGTCGCTGGGTGATCTGCTTAAGTCCAGCTCTGATCCATCTTTCTCCAATGCCACCTGTCTTCAAAAGAGTGGTGAACATGGAAACTGCAGCATTGCAACACTCAACCGCAGCTGTGAGAGACATGACATAACGTTGACAGTCTCCAGATGCACTCTTCAACTCTGCGTCTACCCTTTCATCATTCATGCCTCATGATCTTCAGACCACTGCAAACCCTCATTTGAGTGCATACTGTGTACTCCGCCTCCGTTCCCCTGGGTCTCTCTCTCTCTCTCTCTCTCTTCATATCCTCTTTATCCAGTGCTTCTTCTTCTTCTTCTTCTTCTTCTTCTTCTTCTTCTTCTTCTTCTTCTTCTTCTTCTTCTTCTTCTTCTTCTTCTTCTTCTGCTTCTTCTGCTTCTTCTGTTTCTTCTTCTTCTTCTTCTTCTTCTTCTTCTTCTTCTTCTTCTTCTTCTTCTTCTTCTTCTTCTTCTTCTTCTTCTTGCCATTTTCTTCTGCTTACTCGGGACCCCGAGAAAAGGACCCCCAGAGCTGTGTTAGCCGCTTTGTGGAGATTTGGTGCTGACGTGCTGAACATATGGTCTAGACCTAGACCATAGCATCGTAGAGTCCTACACCTATGTGCAGATGGTGCAGACTACAAGAATGTGCGATGCGCAATAGGCCAGGCCACGCCCGTCTCCGAAACACTGTGGGCTTGCCTGAGACCAAACCCATGGCATATGAGCAGCCAAAGATGTTCCTGAGGATCAGGCGCCCATTGTTGTGCAAGTGACTGAAGTGGCGCGGACTTTGCGCTAGAGCCCTCAGTTGCAAACGAACTGTTTCAATAACCTGCCGACAGGCTGACTACTGCTTCGCCTGTGCTTTGTCACAGGAACATGACCAGAAAGAGATGATGCTGCCGGCGAAGAGCTAGCCAGTGATGCTTTCTTTCGTCGCCCGACAGCGCGATGATCAAGAACTTCATCATACCTGTCACGGATTTGCCCTCTCAGCCGTCATGTAGACCGAAGTTGGACGGCCACTCCTCTGCAGGCTTCATCTCTTGCATTGTCCTAATTTGTTGCAGCTTCCCGGTAGAAACACGCGAACGGATCTGCCTGAGCAAGCTGAGCAGCGCGCCTTGTCCATCACATCCGAGAGCACATGTTCAGCAAAGGAACTCGCATGAGAATGCTGCCATGGCGCAAACGGGATTGCTCACACCTAGTGTAGTTGTGCCATACTTGTTCTGAAGCACGTGGCTCGCAATGCATGGAGCCAACGGCAGTAGTCACACGTGCTGGGGCAGTCCAAAAAGAAGGTCCGTTCGGGATGAATTAGAATAACGATGGCAGCATGTGCCTGCTGGGGGTTGTCTCGCAGCTGCGGAAGTCCTGGAAACACAGCGGTGTGAAAAATCAGAATGTTCAAGGCTCGTCAACGTGGACCATGATACAGCATGCCGCACTCCACACGCCTGAGTCGGCACCGACTTCTTGCTTGACCTTCCAGGATAATGAGCAATCATGCCGGTCTTGCCCCCTTGCGAATAAAAACAGATAGCTACAGCTGAATTTCCTTTGAGGGCATTCTGTCACTAGGTGAAGCCACTCAAGGTCTACTCGTTGATCCTCCTGAGGCGGTTGAATTGCAAATGCCAGGCAGTTGTGAGGCGTTCTACCACGCAGGCGACTGGAACCGCTTCAAATGCACACTAAGTGAATGCCTCCGCTTTGACTTCCAACTTCATGACTTCACCCTTGAGCGGCACCTGCATTTCAATGCGTTCGAAAGTGTTCATGTGCAGGACATTGACATGCGCCCCAAATTCCTTCCTAGGCAGCTTTACTCGCAATGGGCGTCCGGTCAAGTTTCAGAGCTGATGGCAACTTTGCAAGGCTTCTCTTTCACCTTTCACCTCTCAAGCCCTCGCCCCGCTTTGTGAATCCGAAGAGCAAGAATAACAACATGGTGCGCGGCGCATTCTTGCCCGGTACGGGACAAGCATTTGTCTGAGGCAACAGGCCGAAACCACTGGCAGGGGCGATACTTCAGAGAAACGCCGCAAGAAAGTCCCAAAAAAGTGGAGACTAGCCAAAATGAAGTAGTTTAGGACTCACAACCTGACAATCGCCCAAGCCCCAAAGTTCGAAGTCGCCAGCCCCAAGCCTGAAAGCGTCTCTTGTTTCCAGGCAGCAGCAGTTCAGTTCAGGTTTGTCTGCAATCATCGTGCGGGCATGGATGCTCTGGCCATTCGCACGCACTGGTAACACGGACGGAAAGCAAGGTAAGGGTTTAGGTTTAGGGTTTAGAGGGTTTAGAGGGTTTAGAGGGTTTAGAGGGTTTAGAGCGTTTAGAGGGTTTAGAGGGTTTAGAGGGTTTAGAGGGTTTAGAGGGTTTGGGGTTTAGGGTTTGGGGTTTAGGGACGGAATCATCGTGCGGGCATGGATGCTCTGGCCATTCGGACGCACTGGCAACATGGACGGAATCATCGTGCGGGCATGGATGCTCTGGCCATTCGCACGCACTGGTAACACGGACGGAAAGTAAGGTAAGGGTTTAGGTTTAGGGTGTAGGGTTTAGGATGTTTGGGGTTTGGGGTTTGGGGTTTAGGGTTTAGGGTTTAGGGTTTAGGGTTTAGGGTTTAGGGTTTAGGGTTTAGGGTTTAGTCAAGGGTTTCAATGTGCGGGGTTTGGGCCTTGTTCACGACAGGAACGTTGCCACAGAAATGAGGTCATGAAGAGAGAACAAAAGGTAGAAGAGCAAGGAAGAGTAGCAAAAACCCGAACAAACGCCCATTCAAGACCGAAAAAAGTGGCCGAAAGCGAAAACACGGAAGAAACAGAGTGCGGAAAAGGAAAAAAATAACGACAGAGAACCAAACAAAAATAAGAATATAAGAAAGAAAGTGCAAACAGCAGAGAAAAAAACAAGCAAAAACCCGAAGAAACGCACAGCCAAGAGCGGAAAAGTGTCCAAAACAAAAACCCGAAAAGAAGCGCGTGTTGAAAAGGGCCTGAAAAACTTCTGGTGACGGAGGCCTCGGAAAAGGATAAAAACCCCGAAAAAAGCATAGGTTTCCAGCCGAAAAGTGCCGAAGAGCACACGGGCAGGAACGCGCCGCGCTCCAACTACATGGTATGCGGCGCGAATGTGGACCCGCGTTGTGGTGTATGCTTTGGGTCCAAAACTCCAGTTTTCAGCTACATGTTACGAAGCTTTTCAAGCTGCTGTTTCGAGGCTTGCAGAAAGTAATTTTCTGGAAGGGAAGTGAGGGGAGTGGCCCGCGGGCTCTGGGAGTGGGTGTAGCTGAGCCTGCTGATGATTCCCGTGTGTCGAGGCCTCTGAGAATACAACAAGTGAGGAGTCTTGACAGGCTCGATGGAGCATGAAGCTGTCAAGCGCGTACGCGCGAACCAATATCCACAATCTACAAGTATGCCGAACTGTATGTGTAAACAAGCTGTGTCTTTCAGTCACGAGCATGCATATTCATATGCCTATCGCCCGGTAGTGCCACAAGCGCTTTGCTGAAGCAGCTCCGACGGAGAGAAATCGTCGCTAAAAAAATGAGTTGTAGCCGCTCCTTGTCTCGCTACTGTGACCTTGGGGCTGACTCGAGCCCTCCTTAGTAACCGAAGTACTGCCGCTTGAGGGGGGAAACAGTGGAGTTGCTGCTGGAGCCTTGGGCAGCTCCTTCAGACCCTTCAGCTCACTTTCCTGGCATGCCATGAACTCTCTGACCGTTCAGGAGATGCCGGACGCAAGACCTGTCACCTCACCCCAAGATGGTAAGCACACGCCACAGAACCGTTCCAAGCGTTTGTGCTTTGATTCTTTCCAGCTTGGCATCACGATGAGATGCAAACCTTAAGGTCTTCATCCATCAGTCAACAGGGCACATAATAGTCTTTTGCACAACCGGCTAGGTGCTAAGGCTATAAGGGTGGTTCATGCACTTAGATCCAGACCCCAACCCCTTCAAAGTTCCATCGCGAACGGCTTCCGCCAGCATGTCTTCATTGCTGGTCACAACCTGCCGGGTCCAAGTGCCGGGGTCGCAACTTTGAGACTTGATCATTTCCTATCCCTTCTGAGCCTCTTCCCCCAACTCATTTCGCAGGACCTTCTTCTGTGGTCCCATGGCCTTGAGACGGGACGATTCTTCAACGCTTTCACCGTGCCCTGATTGCTGACTGAGCCAATCACCTCTCGACCTGTGTCTTCCTTTTTGGATTTGAGGAACTCCTGAAAGAGCTGCGTATCCTTCCCCTTCACAGCATGCATTTTCAACCTCATTTAACTTCATTAGCGATTCTCGCTTCTCACGCTCTTCGTCTTATTCTTGTTATTCTTCTTCTTATTCTTCTTCTTCTTCTTCTCCTTCTTCTTCTTCTTCTTCTTCTTCTTCTTCTTCTTCTTCTTCTTCTGCTTCTCCGTCTCCTTCTCCTGCTCCTCCTGCTCCTGCTCCTGTTTCTGTTTCTTCGTCTTCCTCTTGTTCGACATCTTCGAACTATTTCCTTTTTTTCCCTTCTTATTATTCTTGTTCGTCTTCTTCTTATTTTCATTATTTTCATTATTCTTATTCTTCTTCTGCTTCTTATTCTTCTTCGTCTTCTTCCTAGTATTCTTCTTCTACTTATTCTTCTTCTTCTTCTTTTTCTTCTTCTTCTTCTTGCCATGTTCTTCTTCTTACTCGGCAGCCCGAAGAAAGGACCCCAGAGCCGTGTTAGCTACTTTGTGGCCAAGTCGCTACAATCTGCAGAAAGGCCCCCCTCGCCCCCCCCCGGCCGAAAGAACTCTGTCCAAAAAGGTGTGGGGCTCTTTTAAGGGGTCAACGATGAATGAAGACCACCAAATAAACAAATGTGTGCGCCCCCATCCCCTGCCCCCAATTGGGCATGCTTGGACAAAGGGTGCAGACGGGGAGTTCGGATTCGGGACCCCAAAAAAAGTGTTTTTCCCGGTTGTGCGCGGGTTGGGGTTTTGGGGCTTGTCGGTGTGGGGTTGTTAGATTTTAAACTCATCTCTTCTCCTCGCCCGGAACTCTGCTTCTCCTCGCCCGGTCTACTCCTGCAGACTCCCTGGAGTGCCACCCCCGAGTGCTCCCCAACCCCAGAGTCTCCCTGGAGTGCCCAACCCCTAGAGACTCCCTGGAGTGCCCGAAAAATCCAAATCCCTAAGGTGATGTTCGAAGTAAAACAATTTTTTGGGGAGAGGGGGGGGGGGGCTATTCGGGTTCGGGTTGGGGATTACAGCAGGCTTAGCCCTTTGTTTTCTCTCGGCGGGCCAGGGGGCAGGGGGGTTCGGGTTCCTGCCGAGCTCGTAATGAGTTTTTTCTTGAAAGCCCCGCAGGCCTGCCGAGCACAAAACTGAGGAGGAAGGGGAGAAAAACGTCACATGGATTGCCGGCATGCACCGGAAGTGGGCGCAACGAAGTCCGAGCAGCAGCCCCGGATGAGAGATTGTCTCTCCTTCAGACCGGTGCAGGCGGCATGAGTTCAGCGAAGAGCTGCAACCGGAGGTCATCAGAGGCGCCAGACTTAACAAGCCAGAGGCCTAACCGGATGCGCTGCAAATCCCAAGGTTCACTGGCATCGCATCAAGCTCATTGACGGCGCATCAAGCCAAGTCTGCTTCTGTGTTGAGGGGTTGTCCGGTCAGACTTTGGCTGAGGAGCCCTCTTGCACTTGATGCGAGGCCTCCTCGGATCAAGACAAGTCAGGCCTTCGTCTGTGTGTTTGCACTGGGGTCACGCAGCGCTCACATAAGGAGACATGCGTGCTCTGTCTCGAGTGTGCCAGTGTGCAAGTGTATGTTCGTTGCCTTTGTAAGCGGTGTGCTTTTGACAATGGAAGGGTCGTTGCAGGTCTTAGTCTTGATGTTGCCAGCCGGTCCGCCTTCTAAGTTGCCCCATTTCCCTCATCACCTACGGCAAGATCATCCAAACCAACTCTAGCATGCATGAACTGGCATAGCATGGCACAGCGCAGCACAGTGGATGAGAGGAAACGGCAGAATGGTCCTTGAGCTCCTCCTGACAAACTTCGAGCGCTCTCGACATTCTGAGACCACTGGAGCGCCAACACAATGTCACCACACCTCATTCATCTGCTTCTTGGCGAGGAGAAGCTTCTTTGGCTTCAAGCCCAAGGCCTTCAACGGCGAGGCACCAATGTAGCATGTAACGCTTTACGTGATCGTCTGCATACTGCAGAATGAGAGCTCCTCCTGCATCAGCTCCTCTTCGTAAGCCTGAGGAGAATGAAGTTTCAACGGTTCGGCTCGCGGAGGGGGGGTCCTCTCTGCCTGCACGGCCCCGCGCTCTTCAGCGATGCTCGCCTTAAGAATGCATCAGCAGCAAGCTGCATCAGCAGCAAGCAACCCACAAAATGATGCGACACGACATGGATGTAGCCATCTGAGTGACGAGCCGTAGTGTCTCGCTTCCTTGCATACCAGTCGTGCAAGTAGTACTTGCCGAACTTGCCCATTTGACCGACCTCTGCATGTGGTACAATCGGAACTACCTGGGTCATGTCCTGCCTGAAGTGAGGTGACTCAGCCTTTGTTGCTGTCCAACTTTGTGGAAATTGCGTGACACAAAGCATGCCTTTCCCCTGAGGAATAAGATCATTGGTTTTGATTGGCTTCGAGTTTGGCAAAGGCGCTTTGTCGAGTGTAAGCTGCACCCGATGGGATACACCGATTCTTTGGTCAAGCGGGGCTTGGACTATAGGTTGGCTCAAACAAGCGTTGGTGCTAAGCGACCATATATGTCTGTTCTGTACGTAGACTAAGTGCGGCATGTGTCTTTTTTACCACTTGAAAGTGTTTCCGGGTTTCCGGGTCGCATCCTTGCTACGGAGCTTCGTACAAGCAAAGCTGGGTTTCTTTGCAAGGCATTCAGCTGATTGTAGCTGCAGCGCAAAGGTCCAAGTGTCCTAGCTAGGTTTCACGTTGGCGTGGGCCGCTGAAGGTTAGCATCAACCTCCGAACATCAAAAACTGCTCTTCAGTCAAATGGTGTTTCTTCCAAAACGACTAATCGAGGCATGGTCCGTGCCTCGGCCTTAGGTCATGAATTTTGCTGCAGAAGCTGCTGAAACACATTCACCCAAACCCGAACCCGAACCCAAACCCCATGCTGAAATCCAAGCGCTAGACGACAAGATCGCAGAACATGTCTACATGCTCTACGGCATGCATCAGTCAAAGGCCGAACAGCGAAATCAAACGTGCCGCATGCCAGGGAAGGAGCCTTTGTTGACTGGCCGAGGTAGGATTCGCGGTCCTGCATGAAGCTGCATGAGTGCAACCGAACGAATCAAAACGAGAGCCTCTTTACTTAAGCTCTCGCATGTTGCTTATGATGGAACACGTCCTTGAACTCTTGTTCCTTGATGGATCTCCATTGAAACTGTTCACGTCCACCCCTGCAGCCATCTTTGATCTTCACCTGTGCTTGCAGGCCACAGCTTGAGCATCTTGAGCCCGCTTAAGCTCAACCTTGATGGGATCTACCCATACTGAAAGACAAACCTGCCTTTACGTCCACCAT